GGAGTGAGGTGATACGCCAGCCTTTGTGTGTTAGTTCCAAGCAGAATGGTTGATCTGAAGAGACACGTTCTTGCTACGCTAGGTATACTGTGTAGGCCTCCAACCTTCAATGGTTGTAAGGTTGACAAAAATGAGGTCGGGTGTACGAGGAAGCATTTCGGAGACACTGATTGATTGGACAGCAAATGACAGCTCATGAACAGCGGCTAAACAAAAACAAAGATAAAAATAAGAAATAAATAATTTGACTACCGAAAACAAGCTGTTGACAAGGAAGTTTACCTATTGCTTCAAGCTCCAGCGATGAATCCCCACGGCTTCCTGGATTTGTTCCGGCGAAAGAGCGATTGATGGAGGAGACCTTATGCAATGAAAATGGTAGACTGCTGAAAATAGCTAGAATAAATGGATAAATAATGTATTATAATGAATATATGTTAATTATTAATTGTCAATATATGGGTTTTTTGTACTTCTCGAGTTGGAAATCCTGATGTAGTCAAGTTTGTTTCTAATCTCTGTATCTCTTATCTTTTCGTATGAGCTGGAAATGAAATCAATTTAGCAAAAATCATTTCCATCCCTTACCCTGATGGTGATCCGATGTTGCCGCAACGGAGACATGGGATTGGCTCAGTTTTCAGCATTTTTGCGTTATCTAAGAATAGAGAGATGCTTTGCATACGGTGCCTCATGATGATTAGTCGACAGTATTCGGCAGAGCGGCTAGAGCGGTTACTTATTTCGGTGGAGGAAGGAGGCTGGGCCAGCTATACAGAGAGAAGTGGGGAGGGGCGATCAAAGAACCACGACATGATGTACGATACATTAATTTCAAAAGTGTAAATGGGCGTGTATAACGAAAACAAGGGGATGAAGTGAGCCAAGTATGAAAGATAAGGCGACGCAACGCAATTGTTCAAAACTCTAAAATCATGAAAGGAGAAGGCTTTAAGCTACCTTATATTCAGGTGTAGAAGCCGCAGGTTTATTCTGAGCCCAAACACGTGAAAGCTTCGCGACTAGACGATCCTAAACCGTGTTGCGTAATGCCTGAGAATCGTGCGGCATGAGGATCGCTTTTGAAAACACAGAGGCGGCTGAGCAGCTCGTTTGAAAATTCGAAAATGTGCGGCTTATAGTACATTTGAATATAGGGTATGAAAAAAAATTCGACTTCAGCAGAGTATCTGTGTTTGAAGGTGTCCGCATCAGTGCCCAACAAAGACTTTGGTCATGTGTTCTTAGCTGGCTTCCGACCAAAATGTACTCCGTGCAATTTCACGTGAATCACGTCTGAAGATAAGCTTTTTGCACACAGCAGCTGCTGATACAAAAGATATTTATCAAGCGCCGCATTTGCACCTGAAGCAGGATGATAGCCCTTGCACCAAGCACGCAGAGTGCAAAGTGTTAAAATGGCCGCATATGACAGTTTTCGCTAATATATACACTACGAAGAAGGTTTTCATCGCAGCGTAGTACAAAGACTATAACTTAGCACGAGGGTCTGATATGCTCTGCAAAAAAACGTGTAACGATGGGCTTTCCGAAAAAAGACAGCTACGAGGTCACGAGCACCAAGCATTTGTTCCTAGCATCCTCAAAGAACATTGATAAGAACAATTAACCACAAAGTGGCTCAATCACCAATCTCCGACAAAAAAAAGAAGTTGGTAGAGAAAACGAACATTTCGCAACGGCATATACATAGCAAGCATGATGCATATTCGTATCCGCACTATGATGTATGATGCAGCCAACTCAGGCGCCGCCCATAGAGGCAATGAACTCAAACCTTTACGGCTGGTATCAAATCTCTGGACTTGTCATCGAGGTATGAAATACAAAGTTGTTAGGGACAAGGTCAAAAAAAGTTGATCTTATGCATATCTCTAGAGTTGGAGAGTAAAAGAATTAGAAAAATAGACAAAACTGCGTTCCTAGCTATCATTTAGGCTTTGCTCTCAAAAAAATGGGTTTAAAAGGTCGATTGGAGAAGACTCGAGCCGAAATAAACAAAAAATTGCATGTGAGCTAGGTTTCGAAAACTGTAAAATTATAGCTAGGATGGTTTATAAGTTAAGACCGATTTCTGTCGCAGGGAAGATAAAATATGGCCTAAGGCCCAAGACAGAGTTCACGCGATTTCATCGTC